CCACCGGGAGGAGGCCCCGAGGAAGACCCAAGACACGCTGGAGGGACTATGTCTCTCGGCTGGCCTGGGACCTCCGGAGGAGCTGGAAGAAGTGGCTGGGGAGAGGGAGGTCTGGGCCTCCCTTCTGAAGCTGCTGCCCCCGCGACCCGACCCCGGATAGGTGGAAGAAAATGGATGGATGGATTCCAGGACAGTGTGTGTGTGTTGGGCCTGGTGTGGGAAAGATGTGCTGTTCTTCAGCACTGCACGCATCGCGCTCATTTGGCCTGTGTGTGTGTGAGGTGAGCTGATAAGATTTTCTCTGATAAAATAGTCAAGGATTCACGGGGCAGACTAAAAAATGCATTATGCCTCTCTGGTATTGTTCAGGGGRGGCGGGCCAAAAGTGGAGGTGGGCCGTAGTTTGGGGTCACCTCATCTCATCTGTGAATTTTGAGTAGATCTGTCACTTACCTCATCAACTTTACTTCTGCATTAGGAGGGAAACATCAGCAGTAACCTTTGAAAAGCTCCTGTGGTGGTCCATCTGTCTGAGGGGGTCACAAAAAAAATTCTGTTTTACTTTCACACAACACAAACTTTATTTACAACAACATAAATATTATGCTGACTGCAGAAATATACAGCTGAAATATACACAGTTCAAGCCACAAAACACATCGCTATAAGAATGAAACAAGAATTTAGAGAATTAGGTGAGTTTAATAAAGTAAACAATTATTGCAGGATTATCTAAGATTCGGGAATAAATATAGAGCCCACCACACACAGGTTAGTTCAGAGTCCACAGCTGCAGAAACCAACTCACCTGTTCAGACATTTCCTCATTAGAAAACAATTTCTTCTTTTCATGAACACTCATCCACCTCCCGTCTTTATCTTGTTGCTTCACCAGCTTTCAGTAATAAATATAAATTCATTAAAAACATTTTTTTTTTACATAATAACTCGATAGTTTTGTTCTGGAGACCATGGATTGACCCAGTTGGTCACAAGAGGTGTCAATCAAAAGGAGGGCCTACCCCGCGGAAATACTTCAAACAGCGGGCCGCAGTAAATTGAGTTTTTTTTAAAACGTCACGTGTATGATCGCTCCACGGGCCTGTTATGTTGCTAATTGCTAACATGTTTAAAAATGTTAAAGTTTAGAGAAAATAAAGAAGTAATGTTGTTACCTGCTGTTTGAAACGGACCGCACATGCTTCGTRAATGGCGGCCGATAGAACACCGTGATGCCTTCAGGTCCTCTAATAAAATGGTAAAAGTTTCAATCGCGCATTCTAGTGTTTTAAATTTGAAGCTAAATTATAAATCATGATATTTTTTATTTTTTTTACCATCATCCAAATCAATAAACAAAATATATAACGTAACACAAAACTACTGTAATTCTATTAATATGTGTTTCTATCATTGGGCCTTTGAAGTCTGACATTTCCGATGCTCCTGAAGGCACCGGTTCATTGGGAACGCTTGACCGAACGAGGGAGCTCAGTTCAAAGCTGTCGAAACATAGGACCGAACCTGAACTTCTCCCCTACAAATATTTGATCGATTAAAGTCTGAAAATGTCCGAAGATGCCTGGTCTACAGCAGTGGATGTTCAGGAGACATCTCAGGTGAGTTTTAATCACAGACGGCTGCTCACCGTTTGCATGTTAGCTTAGCCCGCTAACTGTTTGGTTTTCTGTGGATAGTTGGACCTTAACAAGAGACCGAGTCGACTGCGAGCTCCACCCAAGATGAAGGAAGACATAAATGGTTATTTTATTATTATTTATTATTATTGTTTATTTATTAACCCCTCCTGTCCCAATCACAACTGTGCTGGTTTCCATTTCCACCCGCAGCCAACGGGTCCAGGAGCGAACATGGCGGTCACGGAGAGGAGGTGGACCTGGCCGAACAGTCCCTGCTGAATAAAATGATCCGTCACTCCCTGGTGAGGAACAGGAACCAGGTGGAGGTTCTGCAGGCTGACCCTACCTCACCTCTGTACTCCGTCAGGACCTTTGAGGAGCTCAGAYTGTAAGTTCTGATAAACCCAGAGTTGTATAAAGTACCACAAAGTGATACTTGAGTAAAAGTACAAGTATCTTACCAAAAAAATTACTTTGGTAAAAGTTAAAGTCTCCTTCAGGAATAGTACTTGAGTAAAAGTCTTAAAAGAATCTGATATTTTCTGTACTTAAGTATTAAAAGTAAAAGTATTGATTTAAAATGAGCAGTTAGGTTAGGAGGTGACCTCCCCAAAAATACATAAATGACTGTTG